GTGCTCCCAATTAGCCAATCCGGGTCTGTGTAACAGGTATAGAAATAATAGTTCACTTTATTTATAGAATTACACAAAATGTGTGTTTTACCTGAAGTGTTTATTAAGTATACCTGCTCCTTTAAATTTCTGAGAAAGCTTAAGTTTTTTAATTTCCTGTTCTGCACCCGCCTCCTCCTTTTCTGTACTGACTGCACATGGGAGAGGTGGGTGTCTGCAGCTCTAATTAATCTTAAATCATATTTACTTGACTTTTGAAGCCAGTTTTTATGTTTCAATATTATGTATAACTTTCTTTTTCACATATTTCACATAGTTCGTTATTTTTGTGTTTTCATTTTAATTGAGGTTTTGATTTTTATTTGTCTGATTGAAGCATGTAAAAGTGATGAGGGCGAAGACACACTGTAAAATCTGTGCTTTTGTTTACATCAGGAGTGATTAAAGAGCCGTCACAACTGCTGATACCTGTCTGGTTATTCCCACAATAAAAAGAAAACACAAAGCAGAACCCTTGATGGAGCTGCCAAATATCAGATGATGGGTTCAAAGTAACAATGTGTAAATTATGTTTAAAGTGAAATTCATTCAATCATTCATTTTCATTTCGGCTTAGTCCCTTTATTAATCGGGTGTCACCACAGCGGAATGAACCGCCAACTTATCCAGCATAAGTTTTACGCAGAGGATGCCCTCCCATGTTGCAACCCATTACTGGAAAACACCCATACACTACAGACATTTTAGCTTACCCAATTCACCTATACCGCATGTCTTTGGACTTGTGGGGTAAACCAGACCAACCAGTGAAAACCCACACCAACACGGAGAGAACTAAAGTGAAATTCTTCTATAATTTTTTAAAATACCACCCGATATTGATAGACCACACTTATGAGTTAGTAACCACAGCAAAACATATTTCTGTCTAAAACATCATCTTTTCAAAATATACTCATTTCTGTTTACAAATAAAATGTCTAGTCTACAAATAAACTTTTATTCATTCATTAATTTTCTTTTCAGATTAGTCTCGTTGGTTCACCACAGCGGAATGAACCCCCAACTTATCCAGCACGTTTTTAGCAGATGCCCTTCCAGCAGCAACCCATCACTCGAAAAAACTAAACTTTTAGTTATTTCTAATTATTAACACACAGCCATGTCATTCATCTCAAAACCTTTATTGCTTCTTTTTTTTACTGTTAGAAAGATATATCAGAGTAAAAAAAAACAACTAGTGTAAAAGTCTGCGTCTCTCTGTGTCGCTCAGGCTGCACTGCAGTGTCTATTCACAGGTGTGATCCCACTACTGATCAGCACGGGGGATTTGACCTGCTCCGTCTCCGACCTGGGCCGGTTCACCCCTCCTTAAACGACCTGGTGGTCCCGAGCTCCCCCAGGAGAACCATATCGATACTGAACTTAGAGCGGACACCCGATCAACATAGTCCACTATAGCCCAGAAGCCCTGAGCTCAAGCGATCCGCAGCCTCAGCCTCCCTGTAGCTTGGATTACAGGCGCGCGCCACTGAACCCGGCGAGAGCTGAGAGAATCAGAGCTGTGGAGAATCTGATCATCACAGCGACCTCTAGTGGAGGAAAACTGAACGATGAATAAAAACTGACTTCATAGCCTTATGACATTAGATAATAATAAACAGCAGTATGATCACAAATAAAAAAATTACAGTAATTAGTATCAACATAGTATTTTTGAACTAAAGATTATTATACCATATTTATTAGCCTTTACAACTCATTTTATGAGTGCCACAACATTCTGTTTTCTGTATCAACTGATAAATTGTAATAAATACTGTAGTATACTTTAGTTTTTTTACTACAGTAAAAGTGGTTTATTGTATCATAATACATATAGCTGTAGAAAACATATTACAGAATGGGTGATTAGTTTATATTAGGTGTGCATCTGCATAAAACATTACAAACAATCTACGCGCAGAGATAAATACAATATAAAATTCTGAAATAAAATGAACAGAGCTTTGTTGTTTTTCAACGAGTCAAACAGTATTCAGGTACAGTAATGTAATAATCAAATGTAAAATAATACTGCTATTGTCTTCATTTTTTAATTAAATAAAATGATTTGCTATTAAAATGACAAATTATGCATTTTATTAGACCTGAAGCTTTTACAGTCACAGGCCTCAGAAACACACGCAAACGCTAAATTATAATCCAGACTCAACCTTGTATTTCTTGTGATGTGACTATTGTGAATGATCATTGATGCTGAAATAATGCTCTGGGATAATTTATGTGAGCTAAGGGATAATTGACCCAAAAATGTTAATTCATAATCGTCACAATCATATTTATGCGGTGAACTATCCATTTAAGATTGTGCAAACAGTGAACCTCTGTAAAAGTAAAGCTTTAATGTTTTAATTTTCCACTTAAATACCAGTTCCTCATCTAACATTCATTCATGCAGTGAATAACTATCATTAACTGAGTTACATATTTATTATTCAGTTTACTCTTACTCATCTACTAACTGTGGTGTCAGATGCGGTTTTGACCTCCATCAGTGTTTTTAACATCTATAAGACTCGACAGAATCTCACACAATCTGTGGCATAAATTGATAGACTGTTTCAGCTTTAGCAGCACATCATGCTGAATTACTGATCCTGAGCTGAACATTGTTTATACAAGTACCACAAGTTATTTAATCTGGTCTAAACACTAAAAAGCTGTTTAATATTAAAGATAAAAGGTAAACTAAAACCACTTTGTCCTCTCTGACACTAAATATGTTTTAGCTGTTTTATGATTAAAAAATTATGTTTGTGATTATTAATCTGCAACCAACAACCTGCAGTATTTTATAATATGGTGGCCTTTAGCGTCATTGTGCAATATATGAACTGTGGATTACACTAGAGGCCACATCTGCATCTGACACCATATTTAGTGACTGAAAAAGTGTTGATTCAATTAGTGAATGAATGAATGAATAAATGAGATACTCACTGAATGAGTGAATGTTAGTCGCTGAACTGCTTTTCTGTTGTCATTTAAAAGCTTTTCATTTCCTGATGAACTGTGGCCTATTTGACGAGATGTTTTGCTGTTAAATGGCAAATCATAAATAATTTAGTTATGAAAATATTGTTTCTATATGTATTAATCATTATATATATAATATATATGAGTCACTGGGCGTTGCAGGCACTGTTATTCAATGGTTCAGATCTTACCTCTCTGACAGGTCATTCAGGGTGTCTTGGAGGGGAAAGGTGTCCAACCTACAGCATCTAAACACTGGGGTACCTCAAGGCTCTGTTCTTGGGCCACTTCTCTTCTCCATCTACACGACATCTCTAGGACCAGTCATTCAGAAACATGGATTCTCCTACCACTGCTATGCTGATGATACCCAACTATACCTCTCTTTTCACCCTGATGATCCCTCGGTTCCAGCTCGCATCTCAGCCTGCCTGTCGGACATTTCACACTGGATGAATAATCATCATCTTCAGCTTAACCTTGCGAAAACAGAAATGCTTGGAGTTTCTTCCAACCCGACTCTGCACCACAGTTGCCTTTAAATAGCACAACATTGTGATTATACTATTCAGTACAATAAACTTTACTATGTGATTCTAAAATACTATAGTATTTAGTTTAAATAACTATATTTTATTTGGGACCGTACTGCTGTTTATTTTTATCCAAACAGTGCCATAAGACCAATAAAAAGTCAACTTTACTTCATCATTTATCATTTTCTCTATTAGAGGTCGCTGTGATGATCAGATTCTCCACAGCTCTGATTCTCTCAGCTCTCGCCGGGTTCAGTGGCGCGCGCCTGTAATCCAAGCTACTGGGAGGCTGAGGTTGCGGATTGCTTGAGCTCAGGGCTTCTGGACTGCAGTGGACTATGTTGATCGGGTGTCCACACTAAGTTCGGTATTGATATGGTGCTCCTGGGGGAGCTTGGGACCACCAGGTCGTGTAATGAGGGGTGAACCGGCCCAGGTTGGCGACGGAGCAGGTCAAATCCCCCGTGCTGATCAGTAGTGGGATCACACCTGACAATAGACACTGCAGTGCAGCCTGAGTGACACAGAGAGACGCAGACTTTTCTTCCAGGAGCACTTACACATACAAAATAAAGAGGAGAAATACTAATTAATCTCTTTCCCTAATTTTTTATTGTTCTGACCATTCTACATTTATAGGGTCATCATAATTGCATTATAACAGGCTTCATCAGGCAGTAAATCTTTTGGACTCTTAAAATGTTCTTTTGATTATCAGAAACAATAAATATCACACACTTCTGATCACTTCTACATTCACTGTAATCCACTGCCACAATCACACACACACACACACACACACACACACACACACACACACACACACACACACACACACACACACACACACACACACACACACACACACACACACACACACACATTGCTGTATAATAAAGCTTTGAACTAAACTTTGGATTTGGATGAGGCAACTTTGAAATTGTATTGATTTTAACACATAATGAAGATCAAAGGCAAACATGAAGGGATTTACATTATAAACGCATCAGGAAATGATGAGATTAGAGAGTTTTAAATCATTTTTAACACACGGATATGAACTTTTGTAGAAAATAAATTTGAAGGTGGCTTTAAAAAAAGTGTTAAATTACTTTAAAAACGGAAAAACAAATCGCCAATAGGTGGCAGCAAGAGACCGCTTTAATCGAGTGAAGCTTTGAGTGATTCATTCAGCCACAAATCCCTGATTCATTGACTCGCCCGACTCTTTACAAAGGCCAGAATCATTCGTGTAAGGAAACACAGCTGTGTTTTATTCAGAGATGGCCAACTGTTCTGCTGTTTATTTAATTATTATCATAGTAATGATTTCACTATTATTTTTGAGAAAATAACGCGGAAGTTTTTCAGCGCCTCGTCACGTGATCGTCAGCATCCATGGCAACGGTTCTTTTCGTGTTGTTTTGAACTTGCTCTGTCATTGGCATCTGATCTCGGCGTCCTTCGTGGCAACTGATTCCCAGATTATTGATATTATTGATTGTTGGATACATCGATTGATCGTCTGCTTCTCCCATCATTCAGGTTTGACCCTTGTTATCACACTCTGGTTTGTGTTCAGTATGTCTTGTGTTCATTACAGGTTTCAGAGTCGACTCACCTACGACTCGCTCCAGTTTGAGGGCCTCAACATCACTGTGGGAGAGCTGAAGCGGCACATCATGAGGCGCGAGAGGCTGAAGTTCTGCCAGCTGAAGATCAGCAAAGCCCAAACTGATGAAGGTGAGATGAGGAAAAGCCACTTAAACTATACTACACTAACATTAGATGTGTTATCAGACAGACTTGTAGAAGCTGACATGTGTTATCATGACTCTGATGGTGACATATAGTGATGTTTTGAGTGTTTTAAAATGCTAATGGCACTCAAAGTATACCATGGTAAATGATTATTACTATATTCAAACTTTATTTTGCTGTCAGAATACACAGATGATGATGCTCTCATCCCTAAAAACACATCGGTCATCATCAGACGGGTCCCTGCTGCTGGACTGAAGTCCTCCAACAGAAGATTTGTTGGGTAAGTCATGTGAAATGAGCGCAATCGTCCACTGATAGATGTTATATCAAGAGTTTGAGTCTGTCTGTGGTGTTTTGGTCACACAAGCTCCTTTGTTTTGTTTTGCAGACATCAAGCTGGACCATCAGCTAAATCTTCTCAAACAGGTGATTCTTCACTCCTCTCACTGGAGCAGCTGTTGAAGGTATTGAACAAATGATTAATTCACCCCACTGTGCTGCTCTGTATTGAACTGCAGTGTTTGCATTTGAGGCGTCATAATGACATGTAGTGCAGAATATCAATACACAGTGTAAAACACCCCCCCCCCCCCCCCACACACACACACACACAGCTTCTTAGGGAGATTTGAGGGTGTTTATTTAGAGCAAATCAGTGAAATAAAATTCTAATGTGCAAATGCCTGTGAAACAGACTGAGAATCTGGCTGAGGCAAAGGCATCAGAGGAGGACAAGCTAAAAGCGGTGATGTACCAGTCCAGTCTGTGCTACTACTCCAGCAGGTGAGCGTTCAGACACTGACAGGTTTGGTTTGTGAGAAATGTTAGAGCTGATTCTCATGGTTCTGATGTTCATCAGTGAGGCCATGACACTGCTTGGGCTTCTTCCACCCAACTATGTCTGCTTTCACTGTGGGATCCCAGGACACCACATTAGGCACTGCCCCTCTAAAGGGGTAACTGGGTTTTCTAAGCTTATGGTTGCTGTGAACTTGAGCTCTTGTCTCCATCAGTCAGATTGTTTGCTCTGTCGTTTGACTGTCACTCATGAATTCACAGGGCAGCAGCTCTGCTCCGCACAAGCGCATCAGGAGGAGCACAGGGATTCCCCGCAGCTTCCTGTTGGAGGTGGACGACCCAAATCAAAAGGGGGTCATGATGGACGGCAGCGGCAAATACGTCATTCCCATCATAGACGCGTGAGTAAACTGTACTTGGCATTGCAGCATGTTCTAGTGTTTGTGAAAATCTCACATTATGTCTGCTTGTGTGTGTTTGCGCTCGATCTGTTCAGTGAGGCCTATGCTGCTGAGAAGAAAAAGAGGCCTTCCTTCTGCCAGACCAAGCCGCTGCCCTCCTCTTCCTCAGCTGGTGCAGCATCTTCAGTCCAGGACGCCAGAGGGAAACGTTCCCGCTCCCCATCTCCACCAGAGACGCACGGCGACCAGAAGAGACCACGTCACTGAGAGACCTTCACCCAAGAGACCTGGAGCCGACGTGAGCACAGTGTATATATTGTACATAGTTTATGAATAAAACTGAATAAAGATTATAGCAGCATAAACTGTGGACTGGTTGACCTTCACACAATACAGAAACACAAAAGAAAATGATCAACACATTAAGATAGAAATGATGAACAAACATGCTGCGGGAGAACCAGTGTGCTGTCCTGCTCAGAATCTAAAACTTTTAGTTAAAGTCTATTAAATGTTAATCTGAAAAAAATAAAACGCTGAACAGCTTTTATAGTATTCAATAGTTTTCCTCATAAAGGGGAAAAGTTCAAGAAACATGGAAGAAAAGGCGGCATGTACATATTTTTAAAAATCCATTGGAATGACAAAGATGTGCATGCTCTAATAAGTCATTTTGGCTGTGTTCATATGGTGTCCTTTGGTGGTTTCTATTGCTGTTGTTGTTTACTGTTCAGCTGACTTAAGCAAATAGATTTCTTTAAAATGTAGCTATTAAGGGAAAAAATAATGTATCTTTATTTATATATATATACACATGGCCTCACTGTAGGAAGGCTGCTGCTGGGAGTCCCGACTGGGTCAGATGCCATTTCTGTGTGGAGTTTGCTTGTTCTCTCCGTGTTCATGTGGGTTTCCTCTGGGTGCTCCAAAGACATGTGCTGTATAGGTGACTGAATAAGCTAAATTAGTCATAGTGTATGTGTGTGAATGAGGGTGTATGAATATTTCCCAGTACTGGGTTGCAGCTGGAAGGGTATCTGCTGTGTAAAACATATGCTGAATAAGTTGGCAGTTCATTCCTCTGTGGCGACTCCAGATTAATAAAAGAACTAAGTTGAAGGAAAATGAATGAATAAATTGATTGATTGATTTTATTTGACAATTTTAACAAAAATATACAAACAAGTCCAGTTTGACATTCATATCTTAAAAACTGTCAAGGATAAAATACACAATAAAGCCACAGGCTGATTTCCATCGTGGTCATCGATATTCTTAAAAAATGAACGAGCAAATCATAAAGTGCAAACATCATCAGCTCAGAAACTCAGCACAACAAAAATCCTCAACTTCAACCGTAAAACAGCCATTTTTTAATTTCCTCTATAAAACTCTCAAATTGAATCTCTTTAAAACTCCTCGGCAGTATATTCCAAGCAACAGTACACAGAAAAGACTTTCTACCTGTTTCACTATTAATTCTACAAGGACAAATACCCCTGCTACTCGCTCTTGTAGAATGACAGTGTACCTCACTAACTAACACTTAATAAGTAAAAAATCTTTTTTAAAATCTTAAACACCATCACCAATTTCAGAAATGTGACCCTTTTTCCAACTTTTAATAAATTAGTTTGACTATAATATTCATTATTTAAATATGTCAGTGGAAGTACTTTGATAACAATTCTGCAACTTATTTTGGGCCGTCTGCAATTTATTTTTCATTTTTGTGGAACTACTGCTGTACCAAAAGACTGCAGCATAGTCAAAGTATGACTGCACTAATGCACTAGCCAATATTTGTAAAGTTTGGAAATTTAAGAGCTCTGTCTGTCTTGCTAAAAACTTAATTTTAGAACTTTTGAATGGACTATAACAGCCATCTTCTCACCTGTCAAATTACTGTCTGAAATGCAACCTAAATATTTCCCTTCATGTTTGGGTTCATTAATTTGATGCTCTACTTTTACCTCTGATCTGACACATTTTCTCAGTTTCGCAGCTGAACCATATAAAATAAATTCTGGTTTACACAAGTGTAAGGACAATTTATTAAGGTTAAACCATTAAGAGACTTCCTCAGTTTGTTTATTTCATTTTCAATAAATTCCTTCCTCTCATGAGACACAATTATTGCTGCATCATCCGCATTTAACAAAAGCTTTTTTGAACAGGCCATTTTCAAATCATTAATGTATATTAAAAAAGCAAAGGACCTAAAACACTGCCTTGTGAAACCCCATAAGAAACGGTCGAATAATCTGAAAACACACCATTTAAATCTACTATTTGACATCTGTTTTCAAGGTAAGACTTCATGCATTTACAGGCCAAAACACCAAAACCCATTGCCTTTACTTTTAAAATCAACATCCTGTGATCGACTGTATTGAAAGCTTTTTGCAGGTCTAAGAAAACCATCCCACTTAACTTCCTTTATCCATATCGCTCTTTATATAATTTGTTAAATAAAAGAAACTGTTGAATCAGTGGAATGATTTTCCTAAAACCCGTTTGAAACTCTACAATACGTCACATTTTAAACAATATTTTTCAATGTGCTAATAAATAACTTTTTCCCTCCCTTTTGACAAAGCACTCAAAATTGATACCAGCCTAGAATTATTAACCTCAAACCTAATACCTTTCTTAAAAAGAGAAATAACTCTTGCTTTTTTCAACTTTACCTTGACAAATAGAAAAATTGATAATAGGCTATGTGTAACCATCGGAGTGACGCATTTAGGGAGTCTTTGAGGGAACTGCACTGGAATATTATCTAACCCTGTTGCTTTACTATTTTAAGTGTTATTAATTTCTTAAATATATCCCCCTCCTCTATTTTATTAAACAAAACTTTCTAGATTAAAACTGCATTTGGCATAATACTCTATAACTAATTTATCAATAAAAATGCCATTTTGTACTGGAAGCTTTTTAACCGTCAATATCAGGTGGTATTAAAAAATAATTAACAATGTCATAGTCAGATATAATTAAAACAAACATGATGAAGCCAGTAAATCTGGTTGTGACCTACCCGTGTGTTACTTTTGTTTCTGATGGGGCCAAAAATTATAATGTGCCATTTATGTTTAAAGTAAAATTATTCTCTATATTTATTTTTTAATTTTATATATTTTCAATTAAATTCAATATATTTCTGTCTAAGGCATATTTTTAAAATATAGACATGAAATTGAGATGATTTTTGTATTTTTGTTTACAAATAAACTTTTTGAAGTCTGCTAGTAAACTTTTAATTATTACTTACTATTAATAATGCATAGTCATCATAAATCTCTAAATCTTTATTTCTTCAGTTTTACAGTTAGAAAGACAAATCAAAGTTTAAAAAAAAAAAACTAGTGTAAAAGTCTGCATCTCTCTGTGTCGCTCAGGCTGCACTGCAGTGTCTATTCACAGGCACGATCCCACTACTGATCGGCACGGGAGCTTTGACCTGCTCCGTTTCTGACCTGGGCCGGTTCACTCCTCCTTTAACGACCTGGCGGTCCCAAGCTCACCCAGGAGCACCATATCGATACCGAACTTAGTGCGGGCACCCGATCGACATAGTCCACTGCAGTCCAGAAGCCCTGAGCTCAAGCGATCCGCAGCCTCAGCCTCCCAGTCAGGGGCGGACTGGGACAAAAATTCGGCCCTGGCACTGTAGCCACACCAGCCCACATTACCACACCGACACAGCCCCACAGACGGACACGCACATTTCCTACTTATATTGGTGTACAGATGGTGGAATAATATAAGCAGAACCATATATATCTAATAGATATTTCAAGAGTTCACACTTAGATAGTGCTTGACTATTTAGCTAGTTTGGCATGCTGTCCCGGGAGAGAACCCTGAGCTCGGTGATAGATGAGCCCAAGGCTCCCGCCTGGTCAATAAGCATTAGGAGGGATATGAGATCAGGTAGTTCTCGATAGCTCCCCATAAATGCCATTGTGTCGGGACAGCAGCCGTGTATTCGAAGAACGCCCCCCAAAAGGCTAGAACTGCTATATCCGGCTGCTGGATATAGTGATTTGAGAAGAAATTAGAGAGGTAGAGGAGATGCAGGCTTGTAAGAGCCTTGATGGGAAAAGATGGGACTCTATCTCCGATGGAGGTAGTGTAAAAATAGGCAAATGTTATGAAATAATGTATATGTCCGCATGCGGGCATATAATTATCTATTCATATGGGCATATATCCATATACGCACGTGTGCTGTGTTTTTTTTTTTTTTTTTTGAATATGCACATATGAATAGGTAAAGTAAAACAAATTAAGCTCGTGGAGTGACTCGTGCTCGTAGTCACAGTTCGGGAAGAGCTTAGGGGTGACGGCACTAGTGAAAATGTATATGCGCGGCGTAGGCGCACGCGGCATATGATTATATTATTCATATAGGCATATATTTGTAGGCATATTGCGCATTCCTCATATATGCGTATATAAACAGTCAAAGCAAAATAAATAAACAAAAGAAGCTAGGGCTGGTGGGGGGGGGGCAGTGACGTGACTCGTGCTCGTAGTCACAGCTCGGGCAGTTGAGCTATCAAAGGCTGGTTCTAGAAGGAGTCGGGAAGGGGGAAATTTGGCCGATGGAGACTCCTACTAGAGGAAAAAGGGGAGTTTAAGCTCTGGGACCGCTCCTGCGGTGGCCAGAGCTTGGGGGTGACAGCACTATGTAAAAATGTATATATCCGCATGCGTGGGCGCATGCGGGCATATGATTCTGTTATTCATATAGGCATATATTTGTAGGCGTGCCATACACACTCCTCATATATGCGTATATAAATGATCAAAGCAAAATAAGACAAATAAAAGAAGCTAGGGCTGGTGGGGGGG